TTAAATAAGATTTTTTGATTGTGTTGCTAATGTAATATGTAGCACAATAGACGTCAAAATTGTAGATGACATTCGGAAAAAAAAAAGAAAGGATTTGTTACAGGTAACGTTAATATCTCTCATAGCATACTTTATGGTTATGGTTTCTTTTCACTGAATGATATATAAAATATTAAGAACGGATAAAAACTATCTTTAATATTTTTACGGGAAAACTAAAAAAATCAATTAAATTTCTCAGGAAGATCGTGGTTAACAGAAATTCTTTGGCCGCAACTGAATAATAAAGTTTTGGCGGCGCGAGTGACAGGTGTTTTTCGTAATAATACTAAAGAGTTTATAACGGTTGCCGTTAAGTTCAATTGATTGTTCTTTGACGTTCCCGAGAAGATCGCTAAGCTGAGCTATCTTTCGGAATTAGTTTCCTCTTCCGCGAGTTTCAACGTAATCGCGGATATTATTTTCCCCGGCAGTTCGGAATATTATTTAAATTGGAATTACTTTTCTCATTATAACCCAGCCGAGGGGAAAATCCCTTTTCCCGCCGACTTTACTTTTACCATTCTCGCCGTGGGAGAAAAATTTTATACGCGACAAGTGACAATGCGACGGCGGACCTTCCGTTCTTCGGTGTGTCTTACGATTTTGGTTTCACTCACCATCGATAAACTTTGCCGGATCGCTGTCTGCCAGTATGCATTGTAATTCGACAATACATTAAGTTATAGTTCATGACGTTCATGTCGCCCTAATAATCGCATTTCTGTTGAAGAATTCAGTTAAAACAGGTCTTGAAGTGCAATACAATTTAATAAATAATTTTTAAGTCTGTTGGATCTTATATTTTCGTATGGCAAACGATTATAAGATTTATGATTATAAGATTTAAAATTCCGCACTTGCATATCGTATCTCGATGTCAAATTAATTTTTATTTTAATTTGATATAATTAATCTGTGAATATTATAAATGTATATAAGTACATAATGTTTCATAGATTTATTGAAAGGGAAATTATCTTCAGTTAAGATATTATTACACACTTTTTGTCAAACATTATTATTTCACAATGATTATTTCTGAATAGAGTATATAAATCGCAATCAAATTCATGAACCCAGTACACATGCCCATTTATCAAAATTATTTTGAAAATATTTGTTTATTCCGTTATAATATGTTAAATATTTCATGAAAATGGCAATTCGATTGACGTGCGGCCTTGGCGTTTACTCGTATTTGTGCGGCGCACAGCGTGCTGATGCGTACACAAGGTCGCGCTGCCATTTGTATGCCGCCACTCAAGCAATGCGGTACCACTACAAACTGCTCCGTATAGCTTCGCATTATTTCTCCAAAAACGGAATAAATTTTGGAAGTGATGTGTAAAATGTGATATAAGTAATATTTTAATATTCGCGCGTGATCGTCTGATTACCCGCTGTTTCCGCAAATGTTAAAAGAAAAAATAAAAGGAATTAAGAAGAGAAAAAGGTGAAAGTTAACAATTCTGTTGTTACATATTCTGATCGGTGAGTCACAAAATAATCTTTATTTTATATTTTGATATATAACAGTTGTATATGATGCATGTAAATATCTGTAGTATGTTAACAATAATATAAACGTATATTATGAATAAATGTAATATCATATTTCGTTGCCTGGAAATGTATAAACTAAAATACACTACTGTTTATAAAAAGACAGAATACTAAGAGAGAGTCGAGTTACGCTTTTGAAGAAGTACACTTAAAATCTCTCATGCCAATAATGCGACCTCTGTCAAAATCGTTGAATTGAATATACGGCTCTCTTGTTCGTCTACGTAATATCCTTAATATCTTACGCAATACCCTACTCATTCAATTGAACAAGTACTAATCTGATGAACTAGCTTTACTGCATCTAAAACAGAATGGGAGAAGTGGATGTTAAGAGACATTACGAATTTCAATTGGCCAGCATCCAGTAAATCTACACTATTGATAACGAAATTACAATCATTTATTCAGTAAAATCTAATAAACATTTTTAATGTATCTATAATTACATAGCTTTTCACCAATGATACCTTCCTTCTCTTGAGTACGACTTCGGCGAGATGGAAGGATCCAGTTAAAACCCAGCGACGCAGTCGGTTTATCGTATAGTACGTTAGTTTCGGGAGTTATATAAAAAATAATTTTAATAATTTACAAATAAAATACATAGAAATATTTTTATTGAAATTAATTGTACGGGAAATTATCCCTCCCTAATCTTAGGTCATTCATTTTGAATTTCTCACTTGGTATGTTTTTGAGATTTAACAACGAATAATAATAATAAAATTGTAAGACAGTAGTGATCATTCAAATCGATGAAAGTACGCATATATGAGTCTCGAATTCTATAATTTTTATTCATTTATTTCTATATTAAAATTTCACATACGTTTATATATATTGTTTTTAATATGTTGTTAAATTTAATATAAAATTCTTAATATCCGTGAAACATAATTGCATCTTCGAAATAGAATACGTTTAATATCAAGTTCTTTTTCAAATTTGAGTATACCTATATCTAATTGGATGTATTTTTCAGTATTGTTAAAAGCATTGAGCATGACACGCTTATCAAGAATAAACGTGAAATTAATTCATATTCTAAATATACATTACTGCAAATTTTTTAATTAATTAAGTTAATTAACATAATGGTCCCTTCGCGGCGCATTTCTGTTTTGCGAATTATACAGAAACGTAAAAGTTTTACGCTGAATTGTCGGCGATAATTAGTCAGCAGGAGTATTTCTCCTTCGTGTCGATCTCTGGACTATAGCTAGAATGAAGGATATTGATCAAGAGTAACAAAAGATAAATTTAATTTGGCTAGAAAAATAAAAAATGAAGATAAACAAATGGACGGTAATGTGGTACTTTACCGAAGTAAACTTACAATATCATTGCACACATGTGCGATCGCATGTAATCAGAAACGGAAAGATACCGTTTCGAATTGAATCTCAATTGGTCATAAATGAAAAAATTCCAAATACATTTTTCTAATCTCGCATGATCGCGACTGTAGGTTAGTGTACTATCTAGAGATCTGATCTCGAATTTTATGATTATCATCATTTTTATTGTTTTTAATATAGAAATGTTTTAAATAACAGTATAAAAACTCGATGCTAAAAACCGATGATCGAATGTTAGCTTCTCGCTTGTAAAATTTGACGTAGATATTTTCAACATCGCGAATTATACATTCGACAAAATAATTGCAAAATTGTAAATTTTGTATTATCGGTTATGGAAATCAAAAATTATAAAATACTATATATTGCTTTTGATTAAACGTATTTGTAAATTTTGCGCCGTGTTTGATGTCCGTCGAACTATTTCCTAATCTACTTTTTGCGATAAATGTTTAAAGTCCATTGCAAAAGAGTATCGCGTTGTTTCCACGTTTTTAGGCACAATCGCTGACTCAACAAATGGGCCTTATCTCTGTCCCTTGTGTCAGGTGGACGTTAACGAAAGCATCCGTACTAGTAAAGAGTCATAACGATCTTCAATGTGGAGGATTGTTTCTCGTCGGTTTGGTGCCCCGTTGAAAATTGCAGATTCTATAGTTGCCGGAATTAAATTCGAGTCTTCTTGAATCCCGGGATTTCTGGAAATATAGTTGTTTCGGCAAAAAGCAGACATCGATAATACAATTTTTAAATTGAATCACGAAAATGGTTAGTATATTAAGAGAAAATTTTATTCTTCTCAATAAATGTTTTCTTATTAATACTAGTATATTAATATTAATTACTGATAAATGATAGCAGTGAAATGGATATGACTATTTATTAAATAAAGATATATATAATATAAAAAGATAAAAAAAAAAAATAAAAGATAAAAAAAAAGATAAAAATTTAGATTAACAAATGATTACAATCAAATACATTTTAGTCTTTAATTTTTTATTTTTCTTTCAAAGCTATTTCCGAGCAAATCTTGCCAGTTCAGAACATGATTAATTATTAAATCGTTTTATTAAATATACTCGTTTGTAACCATTTTTTACTACGAATGATATTTTATCCATGTTTTTATTTCTTTTTTAATAAAATTCTTTTTTAATTAATTAAATGTTATAAAACTTACTCACGCACAACCGCGTTCAACTTTTTAATTCCAAATAACGAAAAAATTACGCTCGATAAAGCAAACAGCAAAAACAATTAAAAAAGGGGGCCAAATTTCGAGCAATAATAGGTGTTGAAATTTATATATTCATGTTTGTAATTTGTAATTTGTAATTTAAATATATAAATTTCAACACCTATTATTGCTCGAAATTTGGCCCCCTTTTTTAATTGTTTTTGCTTTTTAATTCCACTTTATCTTATTACTCGTTAATTTTAATATCGACAATCTTTATCTTTATCTTTAGTTAATTAATCATTTATTTAAAAACGATGTATTTTAGTAATGGAAGAATAGTTAAATATTAAAAATATACAGGCAAATTGCAATATGCAATAATATGAATTTTAAATTTGCATTATAATTATACGAGAAACGATGACTATCGTCGATTCTAGCTGGTCCCCCCTATCAGGATCAATCCGGAAAATCTGGGAAATTTGTTCCTTCCTGCAATGGGGGCCGTTAATGTTCGATAGATTGCTTAACTTTCTTTTACAAATTAGTCTTATAGAGTTTAATAGAAGGAAATTTCCACTTGCTCTCCATTTTGAAGATCATTCTTCTCTAAGTTGGGACGCCATTCGGTGGAGGGATCTTGATTTGACCAAATTGTTAGATCAGTTATCCTTCACCGAACGTGACAATCGTCGTTTTTCGGGATTATTTTAAAGTTTAGAATAAACATAATGTCTTAAAAGATTAAAACGAACGTTAGACTTCATATGATCGATCAATTATTGCGATCGATAGTTCGGTTTGTTTCAGATATCATCAAAATCACGTAAAATGCTCAATGTTTTTCAAAAACTGTATATATTATCGTGCAAAACAATAATAATTATATGAATGACTTGCGTTGCATCGAATTTATTACAAAAATATCGCGTATTGCGAATGTTGCCCATTGATTTATTCATCGCATGTAGTACAAATTTTAAATAATAATTTGTGCGTTTTTTTTTAATTGTTGGTTTACTTTACATCGCAAAGCTTCGCTTATCTTTTCGCGTGGATATCTAAAATCTTTTATATAACAACGTAGATTTTACATGAATATAATCGTTCTCATATTTTATCTGAACAGAATGTCAATTGATCTCTCATCAAATAATAACTACTGAATCATCCGTGTTTCAAGATACAGTTTTATTCTGAATATGTTAGTTAACATATTTGTTAGTTAGTTAATATACTTTTAAAACAAAATTTGAATAATAACTGAAAATAAAAACCTATGATATTAATAACAATTAAAAATGTACAAACGCGTTAATCTTCCACTTTTTAATCGATGTACTCACTACTGTGTTAAATCGGTATGTAACTAATTTAAAATAAACATTTAAAATATCGACATTTCTTGTAATTATACATTAAAATCGTGAAAATAATAATTAAAAACGTGATTTTAATAATAAGAAGAATATTAATATATATTGCGATTGTATATTTAAAGTATACTTAAAATATCGATTAAATATTTGGTATATAAACTCTATTTTTTGTTTTCCTTTTAAATCTTCAAATGAAGCGATTGCAGTAATTAATCTGCTTGACTGAAAATATCGTAATCCCATTTTGTTTTTGTTTAGCGTAAAAATGTTAATGTGCATTAAATGCGTCCTAAATATTTATGTAAATGCTTTAAGTTAAAAAATAAAATTACTTCTCAATAAGAATCTCTCATAAGTTGGAATAAGTTGGAAAAATAGACCATCCAAGATTATCCATATATAGGTATTATAGCCATTATTCTTATTATTAGTGCTCTAAAATATCTGTATTATCTTATATGTATCCTATCTATCTTAATAATTTGAACAGAACAATGTGATTGATTTTCAATGTGGCGTTTGATATTCTCATATACGAGTGATATTCAGAGAATGATCACAATCAGTCAACAGTAATATAATGCACAGCCACTAAATAATCATGAGCGCACAAAGGATGGGGAGAAATAGGAAATAGAATAGCATATAACATTATGTCAGAAGCAATTAAAAGACGATTGATGAGTATTTATGTTATTATCACTGATGTCGGCCACATCTCTCCGTTGGAATTATTTACTCGGTTACGTCGATGCGACGCGAGTTACGTTGCGACATGAATATTGTTTTGCGGCTTTTCTTGACCAGCTCCTGGTGTTTTTGCTGCACGTTGATTTATGAAGTGATGTCAGCAACTAAAACCGAGGTGCCGCTCATTACAAATACGCATGCATCGACGCACTAATGCGGACAGGTACCTAAGTGTATGTAACACGGTGTAAAATAGTGAATTGTGTTTCTTGAATGTGGGTTTCTTGATCCGCGGACAGGACGAAAAATACGATA